CCCGGGCCTGGGCCTGTCCCTGTGTTTCGTCTTCCCCAGCAGGTGCTGAGAAGGGAAAAGTGAGGGGCGGAGGGCGGGGCCGAGAGGAAGGAGAGGTGGGCGTGAGGGGGGAGTTTCCTCTTCGTTGTTGCCGCACCGCCGACCTGCGTGATCTGGGGTCTTCCACCCTGGCCCAGAGCCGTGAGCTTGTGCTTAGTGCTGTTCTTCTGGGGAAAGTGCTGAGCTGGATTGCAGGCTGCGTTGTTCATGCTGAATGAGAAACTTGTTTCAAAAGATCACCCTGTGTGTAGTTGTGTCCCAATAGAAATCATTGCTATGTGGCATTTCTCAGTGTAAATACTTGAGTTTCAGAGGTGGTGCAGCGTGGGTTTGTTTCTGTGAGTTGCTTGCGTGCAGTTTGAGTTTGATATGGAGTGAAAACATAAATAAAAGGTTATCCTCCTGTCTGTACAGGTTCCATGGCGAGGGCTATGAGGAGGGGTATGCTGAGGGCAGCCACCTTGGGGCTGCTGAGGGGAGGAGATATGGATCACTCCATGGTGCCAAGATCGGCTCTGAGGTAAATGAGGAGTTACTCCAGAAGAGCAGTGTTCTCTTTAGGAAATTACTGTAACACAGGCATTTTTGAGTAAATCTGATCTACTGGTAGTCTGAGGCCTGCTATGTTACACTGAGTTGTGCATGTCCAAGAAGAACCATGCAACTAATGAACTAGTGTAAAGGTGGTACTGTGATTTGAACAGTTAAATAGGTGGGCTTATGTTTTCTGGGCTTGTTTGTTATGTGGGTTTTTGGTTCTTTGGGTTTTTTTTTTGAGAGGGAGGATAAAAACAAAAAATACTTGCTCAGAAAAAAAAAAAAAAGATGGACCACACATTTATTTTTGTAACCCAAAATTGTGGGTGCAGGTTCCCCCTGTGTCATCCCCTGTGGCTTAGCATTAGGGAAAACCATGGAATGTTGAGGCACTTTGGGTGGAGAGCCATAAGGGGGCAGTTCTGTGTGTTTTTGTTGGAGAGTTTGTCAGTTTGGGCAGGGTTGTTCTCAGGACGTGGGGTCAGGTGTGGGGGCTGGCATTGCCCACACCTTCCTAGAAATGAAAGGACTGGCAGGTGGTGGTGAGGCACCTGAGCTTGTCTCACATGCCCAGCTCCAGTTTGTCACACCGTGGAGTGTGTCCAGTGCTGTGCAATGGCCTTACAGTATTTTTGGACCCAAACTGGGTTTTTTCCAGCTTTAGTGGGAAGCTGTGCTACAGGAATCCTTACTCCCAGTACAACACCACAAATCTAAATTTCTTTGCTCTGTTGGAGCCTTTTGGGTAATTGGGCAGTTTGCCCTTTAGGTATTTTCATCTTTCAGAAGGTTAATGACCTGCAGAAAGAAGCATAGCAATGGCATTAATCTTTTGCAGTGAAGAAGCTGGACTCAGTTTCTAAAAGGATGGCTGTTGTCCAGTTTTGGGTCGTGTTTGGGTGTGATACAGAGATGCACAGTGCTGGAGTGCTTTCCTGCCTGTGCTGCAGCTCTGTAGTTCCAAGGTGAGAACGTTCAATCACAGCCTCCAAAACTGGGTAGCTTCATACAAAAACTTGTGTCAAGGAAAAGTTGACTGGAAGCTTCACTTCAAATATACTTAATGAGATTTCAGTGTGGAAACATGTTTGTCCATCTGGTGATTTGTTTCCTGACAAATGGGATACAATGTGGTGCTTTATTTTTCTTTGGCTAGTTACACTGTGTGGATTTCTTTCTTTCCCCTCATGAGGTGTTTATGAATTCACAGGTTGGCTGCTACCTTGGGTTTGCACTGACCTGGCAGTGCCTGCTCCAGAAATGCACGGATGAAAAGAACAGGTGAGGCTAAAAGGTGTTCCTTCAATACCATTTCAGATTGTGGGGTGCAGTTCTGCCTCTCCCTCAGCAGAGAGGAAATTCTAAAAGAAAGAAGAAAGTTGAGCAGGGAGACACTGGGGTGTATCATGTGCTGGAACATGTGATAATGAGAAGAGGAAAAGAGAACCTGGTTTCTTCAGCCTGGAGGAGAGAAGCCAGGGGACACGTGGAGTTGTGCTGTGTAAGGGGAAGCTCTAGATAAGGTGGAGGTGCATTCCTTGCAGAAGCAGTCAGTGAAAGGATTGCATTTCCCACTCTCACTCAGTCATCTCATCACCATTTCTGAAAAACCTTGAATATTTCTCAACTCTTGGCAGCTAAGTTAAAAGGGAAACCTTAATTTGTTGTTTGTCCTACAGCTTAATAGCTGATTATAGCTTAAATATGTATCAAATACACACTCAATGAGCTAAATGGGAGTTGAAAGTTTTAATTAGAGGGATGGAGGTCTGGCTTCTATGCTCTGAATTACTACATAGAAGAATTGCTGTAATCTTTATAGTGATTGATGGGGAAAAAAATGTTGTATGCTCATTGGATTTCCTGGTTTGATTTCTTTTTTTATTTTCTAGCAAAAAGATAAGGGCTCTGGATTCATTAATAGGCATGATTCAGAAATTCCCATATGAAGACCCCACTTATGATAAGCTGCAAGAAGATCTGGAAAAAATCAGAGGAAAATTTAAACAGGTCTGTAAGATTAAGTTGTTATTTTAGCACAAAATATTAATTTCTGAAAATACTTAGTCTCTAAACCTGCTCAAACCCACACTATTTATGCAGAGCAATTATTGCTCTTCTGCACGTGTAGTACGAATATTTAAAGTAAATTAAAATGCTTCATAGTTGAAGATCCCCAATGGATAGTGAATGCAAAATAAAAGAAAAGTATTCTTTAAATGAAAATTGAAAATGTTGTTTGGTAATGAACTACAAGTGGGACCAGAAGAACAGAAACAGAGAGAGATCTGTTGAACATTGTTCTTGGAAAATAGGTGCTTTGAAACACTTTTGTGTATTCTTTTTTAGGTTTGCTCAGTGCTAAATATTCAGTCTGATTTTAGAATTGGCACTGAAAGATCTTCACTAACGTTTTGAATAAAGCAGATGAAGATAAACATGGATGACTACAGAAGAAACAGATAACTGAAAAATTGTTTATCTGCTGTTATTTTAAACAAAATCAAAATAGTGAAAAGGTGCTAAATGTTAAAAAGGGCAAACCATAGAACTCGCAGTAGTACTTCCCATGTGTCACTTAATGTTTAACATCTCCAGGTGTTACTTAGGATTGCTGAAACACCAGTGTGTAAACCTATTAAATATAAATATTTGCTTTAATTCCTCAAAAGGGAAACATATGCATTTGCAAATTTTCCTTACTTAAAGGGTGTGTGTCACTTAAAAATCTGTGTATGCAGATTGTTCAGTTTACACAATGTGTAGATCCTGTGTGAGTAAAATAGAATAAATTGCCTGCAGACTTTGCAGGAGGAAACATTTTTGTGTGTAGAGAATGACAAATGAAGTCAGAATGTGAAGGAGAAAGATGCTCCTGAAGTAGCTATGGCTCAGAACTTGAAATTTGCACATTCCAGGAGTTCTGCAGACTGATGCAGCTGCAGGGGGAACAACAAACCCCTCCAAAACCAAACCCAGAAAGTTTAAGTGATCGATGAGAGAAACATGGCAAGAGAAGAGCTGTGATAGTATTTGCTAGTACCTTTTGTCAGAGAACAGCTTGTTATTTTCCAGTCTTTAAACTACTCTTTAGTCTCATTCAAAAAAAGGATACTGTCAGCTAGATGTGTTCAACTGTGTTAGCTTAGGAGAAATACAGACCAGTATTTTACTTGAAAAGTGTTTTAGGTTGGGCTGCTGGATGTCTTTGCACACCACGTGCAATATGTAATGACTGTATATATGACTACTGCCATCAGTGGGATGTCTGCATGTCTGGTTAAATCCATGGCATGCTGTAGCTTCCCCAGGACAGCTCTGACTCCCTGCTGCTTGCTGCTGGACTTTGAACACCTCCACACAGAGTGAGTGTCAGGGCCATCTAGTGGAGGAGCTCCTTGTGTGAGAAATAAGAGTTCACAAGTATTTGTGTAGATTGAAGTTGTTCAAACAGAACACAGAACCTATGTGTGCCAGATCTGGCCCTTCTCATTAATGTGCTGAACATCTTTGAGTGGAATTAATGTTGAGGTAGAATTCACTCATAGCTTGTTTCCTCATTTGAGACCTGGGAAGAGACTTCAAATGAATGGAAGTTACTCATCCATTATTAACTTGACTCAAAATACTTTTTGTTCAAATCCATGAGTTATACTTTAAATAAACTCCCTCTTGGATCTTGGTCTAAAAAAGGCAGTTTTGTTGTTCTTCTGAATGACTACAATGAGAACTAAGTGCTGGAGGTCTTAAGATATGTCATAAAATGCAACCTTTTTTTGGAATCTTTGTGTATGGTTTACAAAAATACATGTAAAGGCAAGGAGAGGGATGGGAGAGCTCTAAGTATTTGAGGAGTATTTGAATAGAAGTGTATGATCTGTGAGTTACATGCAAAGTGCTGCTCTGGAGATTGTATCAAAACCAATTTCAGTTATTTTTGTTTGACTAAGGAGAGAAAGGATCTTTGCAGGTTGAGTGGTCCCTGACTGTTATTGGAGAAATTGGTTTGGTAGCTAGTTTTCTTGGACTGCTTTAATTTTATTTATAACAAGATAATATTCTTATAATAAATGCCTCTTATTCCACAAGTCTGTATTTTTTCTGAACATCTTCTGTTTCAGGTCCTGTGTGGGCCTGATGGTGTTTATTAAATGAGGTTAAAAATTCTGTTGCACATGTAGTTGTATAATTCTTTGGTGCCAAGTTTTAAAACCTCTTTTCTGCAGCAGAGGTGTGGGGTTTTCTGTGAGGTTTGGGGCTGTGAGGGTGGAATCTTCACAGCTTACTTATAGGGCACTTTTATACCTTATTTAGAGCTAAGGAGCTAAAGCCCAGGTTACATTGGGACTATCGATTTGCCTTAACCAGTGTGAGATGTCTAATGCCACTGGATCCAAAGAATTTTGCATTTTGAGTGCTGAAATGCTTCAGCAGGCACTGCTTACCAACATCAAGAGTGGCTGAGTCCTTTGCTTGTTTGCATGTTGGTATTTTTGCCTGTGTTTCTCAGATCAGCCACCTAGAAAATGAGGAACATTACAGTTAGCAAACAGTGTGAAAGATGTGTGCTCAAGCCCACTAGAGTCCTACTGGGGGGAAGAAAATCCATCAGAATCTAAAAAAAACAGTATTCAGTTCTCTGAAATACAAGTATGGTTACTTTTCTTTCAACACCTTTCCTGTTAGTTAACACCTTCCTAAAATCTGTACAAAGGAAAACAAATCCTTATAAATGGCTCCATTACTCTCACACCCTGCTTACTCAGTCTGTGTCCTGAATGGTCAGGACTCTGCTGGAAGCAAGTGATTTACCCCACAGAAGGTGACCAAATAATCTGAATTTTTGAGGTTTGAAATCCAGTTCTGTTGACATCTTTTTGTTCTGCATGTGCCTACATCCTTTTTTCAGTCTTTTTTGAAAGTGAAGTTTTAACATCTGTCTCCACGTTAAGGTATTGCAAGAAAAGAGCATGAAAAATGGAATCTTCTCTCTATAAAAATCATGCAACCACAGACCTGGATCTAATATTTCTTTATTTTCTCACACATTACCAAAGCTGCATAATTGATTGGACACAGCCTTCTGTTTCGAAGATGTGATTTAATAATCTCAGGTTCTTTTCTGGTTTTGTTCTCAAATAACATTGGGTGCCTTCTCTTTAGGTGGCTTGTTTGAACATTTGTGGGTTTTTTTTATCATGCCCAGTAATTACTCAGTGGTTTTGCACGCTTGAAAGGGAGTGCTGATGCTATTAACAAATGTCATTTTCTGGAGATAAAGGTTTGGGCAAGCAAGATGAGGATAAGACCCCTTGTCAGGGAAATTGCTTTCTTAGCTTCTGCAATGACAGCAGCAGGAAGCACTACACATTTTTGACAAAGGGCTGATGTTTTTGTGCCTAATGGTCTTAAGGGGATAGTTTGAAATCTACTGGAATATGAGAGGTACCTGAAGTTCTTCTGGGTTAGAATCTTTATTTCTCATGGGAGTTTCTTCAGGGCATTCCAAAGAAAGTTGTAACAAAGCTGGGTCAGTCAGATAGGGCAATGTGTGTGTGATACTGTATCTAATCCTGATCTTAAAGAGAGAGGCTTTGTTTTGAAAGAAAAGGTTTAATAATTGTGCTAAAGTTATAATTCTTTATATTCTTGGTGCTACTCAGTATGAACGTTAGTGCCTTTTGAATACTTTGCAACTCCTTATGGCAATGGATTCTGGTCCAATTACTGCCCAAATCTTCAGCTTTCACAGTTTAGCCAGTTACCATGAAGATTCTCATTTTACAGTCTGCCAGAGTTGTTTTTTCAGTAGATAAAGTTCTGACAGCACACATTACCCCAGAAATGTATGTATCACCAGTGCAATGGAGGTCTGGGAGGTGTGAAAGGAGCTCTGCAGTGAGTTTCCAGTTACAGGTTTTGGTGTCTAGGATTGATGCATTAAGGCCAACTGGAGCAGCCTGGTACTGAAGCACTTCAGTGAGTCCCAGTGTTTGGAACTGCAGATCTAGCTCAGCCCCTCTCGATATTAAAATAATACTAATAAAGCTTTGTGTGCTGTTTTGAAAGCAGTTTTCCAAGTCTGTTAACTCCATGCACTCAGGCTTGTAAATAATGGTTCTTAGCAGAGAGAATAAGAGATCTTGGAGCTTTTGGATTCTTTGGGATTGTCCAGACTGCACTGTGCAATGGGGTGATACTTGGGCTAAAATTAAAGCCAACTTAATGCAGCAGAAAGAGCATCCATTTGTTAGAACAAAACTTTTTCTCATGAAATATAGGAAGAGTGAAAAAAATCAGCTACAGCAAGTGCTAGTGGATTCTGAAGTGGCTTGCTATAAAATGCTTTAAATTGTTCTATCATATTTCATATTTCTGTGTAATTGAACAATAATTTGGTGTTCTGTGTATCTGTTCTGGCAGGGCAAAATGCTTATTTTAGCAAAATGTCTAGGCAGAAGGGTTGGTTATTCAGTCTCTGCATCCTGACTGTTCACTAGACAGACTCAACACCAGTATTTGTCAGTCTTTAATTTCTGAGTGGTTAGCAGCATGTTTTGCTGCTCTATCTCCATGGAGTAGCAACGACGATTTTTAACCTTCAGCATCTTGAGGATTCTGGGCAATAATCAACACTGCATGGAATCTTTCTTGATAGTAGGAACTGTGAGTCAGCAAGGCTGTAATTTTTTTAGTGGCAGGGGTTGTTTCTTCAGCA